CACACACACACACACACACACACACACACACACACACACATACAGCAGGGCCTACAGGGACCTCACTTGTCAGCACACTTGGCTAATGTTTCTCCAAGGCCTCCAGAAAAGCAGAAAACAAATGTGCAAAGAGGTAGAAATAACAACCATGGAATATGTCAAGGGTAAAAAATGCTAACCAAGCATAGGCTACTTTTTTCTGCCTTTCCCTGAGCCTCAGCTCACGCAGATGCTCGGTTGTTGCACTGTGGTGCAGGATGCAACAGCTTCATTAAAGATGACTCACAAGGACTGACCATGTTCCAATCTATTTTGATCCATCATTGAATGCAGGAAGGACTGCTGAAACATGAGCTTTCCTCTCGCACATTTGTATCAACAGCTAGCTGTGTTCTCGTATCATTGTGTACTCACGGCACAGGTCGCCTTCGTCATCACCGAGTGGACAATCTGTATTGAAGTCACACAGTTTGTCCAGTGGGATCCCAGGTCCCTTGTGACAGTTGTACTGACCCTCCAGTGTGATGTTCGGACCAGGTGAGGATGCTGGACAGAAGGAAGAACAGATAGAGAGAAAGAAAAAAAGAAGAAAGAAAGAGGAAGAAGAAAATTCAACATCAATATTTCTTCACACAGACATCAAAGCACACAGCACTACAGACCAAAAATGTTTCCACCATGCTGTTAGAATTAAAAATACAAGTTGAGTGCCCGTTGTAAACCTGCCTGTTTGTAATGTTCTCTTCTCTTGTCCTGTGTTAGTGCTCTGGAGAATTATTCCTTATCATTAGTGAGTCCTGCTCAAACTGTACTACAATGAACTGTCACTTTTATTGTTTGTGTGCTGGAATACAAAGGTTCTATGGTGAAGAGTGAAATGAGAAAACTTTGTGTTCATCCCACCTGGTTTATCTGTAGTGAAGTATTTAAAGTTTTTTTTTTTTTCATGAAATGAGACTGATTTAGCTGTATTATTGTTTACACGTGTGGCTCATTTATTCGTTTGAGAGATTTACTGTGTTAATTCTTCAATTTATGTGGTTTCACTTGATAAGAGGAAGTGATTCTGTGAATGTGCTCATGATGGAGATCAGTTTCTGTGATTCCTGTGAATATAATTTTGACCAGAGGTCTGACCCAATTACCGACCACTGCTGTTGCTTATCTGAGGACGTAGAAGAAGTTGTGCAAAACACGGTCCAGAGACTTCCCCCTCACGCTCACACACACACACACACACACACAC